GCTCTCTTCATGAATGCTCACACACACACATATGGTAGATGTGTAAAGAGAGAATACAACAATAGTGATAAATAATTCTCTTAGTGAATTCTCACACAACACATACGGTGTCATGAACAAGAAGTTTGCGAATAGAAATATCATATTTCTGTTCGACATCACCTCAAATTAATTTTTCTCATTCAAAATAAAACAAAAATTATTTCTGTTCTGATGGTCCACCAGTGAGACGGCGGTAAGTCTACGGACTTACAACGATAAAATCCGGGGTTCGATTCCCCGCGGTGGACACAGCAGATAGCTCAATGTGACTTTGCTCTAAAACAAACCAACAAACTCTTCTGATGTTACTTGAAGAAAAGTGCAAATAAATACTGATACAAATTATAAAATAGTTATGGTTTCAAAACCTTGTTTTAAAACAAAGCCAATAACGAACGTCTTCGTGATAGTAAGCGAAAAAAAAATATATATATATATTTTCTTACCTTAAATTCACGAAGGAATTATTTTCAAGACGAATAAACGGGTACGTACAAAGAAGGAATCACAGCCTAGGATAAAGAAGGAACTCGAACACAGCTACCGTTCTACGGCATAAGTTAGCTTTTTGACCTCAGTTTACCATACAGGAATAGCGTGTACTACTCTGTAAGTTTAACTCCCACCTGTTGCTCTATCCCACCTCGTTCTGACGGAAAACTTGTTCCTCCACTCACTTTACACCTGCCTGCTCTCATTTTATACAGCCCACCCTATCACGTGACTAGAATGAAACCGGACAGCATGCTAAATTTTGCATTATTTCGAAAGTAAGAATTCAGTCTTTTCCTGCTGTATTTTTGTAGTTTTTTTTAGTTACATCTTGAATAACCACATGTTCGCCACATTACAGTTCAGGTCCGTGTACGTATACCCAAGTTTCTATAGTAAAAACATGTGACAATGTCTTTTGTTGAAGAGGTGAATTGTTTCACACGAACACAAAGTTAACTTCTGTTATTTTGACTCTTTTTGTTAAATTTTTTTTTGTCATTCTGTTTGTTTTCGCATTTCTTCAAATTCTTAGCTAAATGAACAACCAGTCAGACTTACAATTTAACTACTGCAGTTAAAATAAGAACTATGGTGCTTCACGGAACCAAACATATGGATGTTGTTTTGTTTGAAGTTAAGCACAAAGCAACATAATGGGCTATCTGTGCTCTGCCAATCACGGGTATCGAAACCCGGATTCTAGCGTTGTAAGCCCGAAGACATACCGCTGTGCCATTGGGGGGGGGCGATGGAGATTGGCTTAGAGCAAGTTATAAAGCAACAAGTTTTTAGCTTGAGAAAAAAGATGGTTAAATCAAATCGCGCGTGTGTATATATATATATTTATATATAAAGAAGGACTATCTTTGCTAGGTAAGGACTAAAGATGGTAAAAGTTAAACGAAAATCAAATCTCGCGTGTGTATATGTATATATATAAAGAAGGACTATCTTTGCCAGGAAAGGACTAAAACACCCATAATAACAAAGTGCGGAGTGTGTTTTTCTGAGAACAGGAAGCAAACACAGTTTTACAGTCTGGTATGCTAACTACTAGGCTTGGTCGACTCATATATATACATATATATATACTAGAATTATTTCCGCAGGGTCCCCAAAAGTGTTCTGTTTCAAGAATAAGTAAAACCAAAATTAAGAGTATTTCTTCCAATTGCAACGTTAAGCGTCCCTTATGTGACGTCATTTTAGTGTATACTAACAGTTTTTTTTTTTGATTTCGTGCAAAGCTACACGAGGGCTATCTAATTTAGCAGTGTAAGACTAAAGGGAAGGTAGCTAGTCATCACCACCGACCGCCAACTCTTGGGCTACTCTTTTACCAACGAATAGTGGGATTGACCGTCACATTATAACGCCCCCACCGCTGAAAGGGCGAGCATGTTTGGTGTGACGGAGATTCGAACCCGCGACCCTCAGATTGCGAGTCGAGCACCTTAGCCACCTGGCCATGCCGGGCCCTATACTGACAGACAGACTGCTGTATAGTGGTGCAAATGGTTAAAACAAGTGACTCCTCTAAAGGGCCGAAATAAATAATCGATATATTAAATTTTGATATATAAATACTTGCAAAGACAAAACATACAAAAATAAATATAAATATAAAAAACCTATAATTCATCAATGGTACATGATTCTCATTTTTGTAATTGCATATTTATTATTAATACTATATTAAAAACAATAGTATAAAGAACTAACTGATCGCTAAAATTACATAATTTTCATATACAATTCCAGCTTGCATGAAACGTGTATAGAGTTAACAGTTTCGGCTTCACTTGAAAGATTAATTTGTCTTGAATTGGTTAAACAGGGTTGAGTACGTTATATTAATACGCTTGTGAATATGTAAATCAGCAAGTCACGTGACAACCACAGCCGCGGTGGAACGGTATATATAAGTAATACATTTTGATATTATTCGGCGTCACGTGCGTAGTGTAATGACAGCGAAAATTGATCGGAAATGGTATGTAACAGCTCTTTTCAACGTAGAATATTCATACACTCAAATAATAAATATGTGTTTAGATCGGAAATTTAGAATTTCCGAGACAGGGACATTCCTTATACTAAATGGCATTGGAAACCAGAAGAATGAGAAATAGCTTGGGGTTTCAGGACTATCTGTATACAGACCTGCAACAAGTTGTAATTCAGCCACGGTAAACAAAGTGTAGCATATTGTAATAGATGAGACTCCAATAACGTAAAGGTCAGTGGCAAAATCTGTCTATGTATCTCAGGCAACATAATCGAGATTGTGCGTAAAAGCACACAACTCAGGTGAATACAAGCTTCTTGTACGACATATCTATTCCTTCGTCCCATACCTCAAGTTGCTTGAGAATGAGATGGGTATTCATGCCATTCTTTATGAAAACAAATCGGTAAATTCACCAGACTGAGTGTCTATGGATTTCTGTGGAATCGGACTATTGAAACAGGCATTGTGAAACCGTCGTCTTCTTACACTAGGTGGATTATGGAAACTAGCTGGGAGAAGTGTAACGCTTTTGGACATGGTAATTTTACGACGGAGCATTTACAAGCGAAACTACGATACAGGACTATTGTCAAGATGCACGGTCGTTAGGTAGATCATGGCTGATCGTGGCGACGTGGCTGGAATGACGTGGTGAGGCTCCAAAGTCGTTTTAACATAATACACTCAACCTCTGTTTGACCTCTCAGAAAAGACAACTAAATGATTTTTCACGCGAAACGATTGTGTAAATGTTTTGTGATTTTTGAAATAAACACAGTTTGCAATTGGATGTCAAGTCAACAGATTTTATAACTTAAATTTATATAATTGTAAAATGTAAGTAATTCTTAAAACGATAATAAACAAGTCTCAGGTAAAAAGGTGAGATTCTATTCAAATAAAAGTTAGATCATAAACCTTTATAGTTAATCACGTGGTCAACTTTTCAGGTTTAAAACACCTGTCTGCTTAAAACTGCGATAATAAATGATAGTGACGTAATATAGTATACAGAACGTGATACAGTGATTGAAAAATAATAAAACTTTCCCTCTGTTTCAGAGATGTAGAAAGGAGATATTTTAGTTTTCATGCTGGAACTGTCTGTGGCAGCTGGATACTGAACTTGGGAGTGGTCAGAGAACTGAGTACGTGCGTCATTTCTACTCTGAATAGTCATTTTAAGTTGAAGTAGGTCGGTCGTGAATAGCAATATTTCTCTCTCTCTGAAATGTAAGTCAACTTTATATAAAGGTCTAAAAGGACCATTTGGAAATGTATACTTGCATGTCGATATTCCTTCCATAAGGACCGGTTTTGTAGTCTACAGTCAGAGGCGGACTGTGGGGGTGGAGTGGTAGGAGCGGCTCGGTGATTTGGCTATTGGACCAGCCCTAGCCTCTTGTGGAGGTTCAAGACTCAATTAAAATGAAGTAATAATTGTATGACTTTACAAGAAAGTAAATAACAATTACACCGACCGCTGTAATGGCCAGCCCGTCCCTAGTCTACAGTCACTAGGGGAAAATGTAAAGAAAAATACTCATGTAGTAATCCATAGCCTAAGCGGTCAAATAATGACAATTTCATTCCAGTCTGTTGAAACTTTAAATTTCGGTTACTGAAGCACTTTAAAAAAACAGGAATATTGATTGGTAAATTGTTAAAAGTTTATTTTTCCCCAGTATCCAAAAACGATATTTTATGTTTGGGTTGTAACCTTTTTGTTGGGTACTACCTAATAAAACTGTCTTCATTCTCTGCATTAACCCATAAACAATTAAACACCTTCATTTAAAAGCTACACGATGGGCTATATTCACTCTATCCCCGCGGGGAACCGAGCCCACCAGATTGTTGCGTTTGAAGTCCGTAAAGTTACCGCTGACAAAGTGGGGGGGGGGCGTTACAAATACGATCAAAAACAATACAACACGAGCTTATTCATTCATTCCAGGGATGAAAAAGGGCTAGAATGATGGGCTATACATATTTGAACGTTAGAATAAGAGGGTGGGATATGTTATTTTCTACAACCTGAAGGGTGGAATTTAGTCTCGCGAACAGTGTAACATTTATATGATCCTATAACCCTACGTCCATTTTACTCTTGACACGAACAGTGTAACATTTATATGATCCTATAACACTACTTCCATTTTACTCTTGACACGAACAGTGTAACATTTATATGATCCTATAACACTACTTCCATTTTACTCTTGACACG